AAATGTAATTACCCAAAAACGAGTGGAACATGTCTGGCGGCCCTGCAATCCGGTGGGCGGCGTTCCGTTCCTGTCCACATCTGACCAGCCGGCCATATAAAGGGTTCCTGACATTTGCCCCTACGACGACGATGACGATGACGATGACGGAGTGACGGCCATGGCAACTGTCGCTGTAATTGACAAGGAGGCAGTATTCGATTCGCTCTGTGCCACTTTCCCCCGCCTTTTGCCCAGTTTTCCCCCGCTTTCCACGGGTATTTCCCTATCTTCACACATATTGGCAATGCTGATGAGTTTTTGAAGGGTTAGGCGAGTTTAATCGGGCCCTCTGTGGCGTGTGTGTTTGCATTGGGGAGTTGATTAGGTTATGGGGGTCATTTTAGCTACAGGAGATAAACATAATTGCCTTGTCTCGAACGGTATTTCCGCAAAATATGGTGCAGTTTCGGGCACAGCATTAATGGGGCAATCTCATGAAGTCTATTTATTTAATTAGATTGTATTGTAAAAGTTTTCGAAAAGAAGAGGCTAAATCTTTTATATAACTAGTTTCGTTTTCTTCCGTTTATCGTTTCGCAAATCGTACCTATAATCATTAAGAATTATCGTTCAAAACAGCAATTTAAGCACCATTTTAATTATCTGGAATGCTTTTGTTTAACTTCCTAGAACAAAGCAAAAATCGTATTCTTATTTAGGAATGGTTTCAACAATTGATGATTATTTTTTTCAAATACCATTAAACACTCCACAACAACTAGACGATGATGCGCTCTAAATTTTTCAAATTTATTCAGTAAATAATGGGAGAACATAAATTAGATAAGCAGATATATTTTTCAACTTACGTCACAATCGAAACGGCGCTGGATCTCATTAAAATATATATATACTTGTATTCACGATCGGCTCGACGAAAAGAGTCCGCATTTTTCTTTTGGAAGTCGTAAATGAACGAAATTGAAATAAATATCATAGGCATAGAGTCGTGTACATTGTGAAACTATTCAATAAATTAACTTTGTTGTAAGTGCTGGCCATAAATATTTATATTTTATAGTATTTGTACGGTTGTCGTAAAATTCAAATGAAGTTGTCCCCCAATGTTGGTGGATGAGTGGGACGCGTTTATAAACATATTTCCAAAGCAATTATGAATTGTAGTTTTTGGCATTCGTCGTCTGACTGACAGGAAATTATATTGTGTTATAGGCCATAAAACTGGCAGGTCCGGAGAACCAAATGAGCCCCAAAGAGATCTTCAGTCCCTTGGTAGCATGTGCAACAGGCCTTTTGCTTTTGAAGTCCCCACCTCTCGGCGCTCAAATGACTTTTACCCAGAAGTCGTTAAAAAACGACGAAAATTTCCAATTAATTTTGATAAACGCGGCCCACAACGAAAAATAAAAGATGCATATTGGTTTGGGGCGGGGGTAAGTTTGTTTGCTGCCCCAAAGCGGAAATTGTAACTGTGCATTGATTGGTACCGGGATGGGGATTGGGATTGGGAAAAGGGGAAGGGATGGGCAGTGCAACCAATTGTTGCTTATTAGGCCGAAAACATTAAAATTCTATCAAAACAACAACAGCGACGAGGCAACAAATTGTTGTCTACAGAATGAAGCCATTTCAATCGGCCGTTTTATGAGTGTTTTTAGGCGCTTTTTGCCCGCCTATTTCAACTGGATTTTTACGATTTTACATTTACAAGAGTCCGCCGTCCATCGATGTCCATCAAACGATTAGGCCCGCCTTGGATGTTCATATATATATTATGTATGTATATAGGGAGTGGATCTGTTGTATCTATGGGTCTACGGTTTCTGTGGGACTTAATGACCAGATTAATGACGCCAAAAACATGATGGGAAGCTATAGATTAAATGGGAGCTATAAAAGCGATTTAAGTGTGGGGTGGCGGCGGGTAGTGGGTTGTGTTTTGTGCGCTTTCAGGAACTTTTTCCGAGGAAAGAAGCATCTCTGAAGCATCTTTGAATATTTTGAAGATCTGAAGATAATATTTTCTTTAATTTTTCTTCCAAGAAACTCATATAAAATATTTCACATTGCAGGTCTGGCAATTTCCATTTGCTTTTCCCTGTAAATCGTGCCTATTAAATCCCATAATACTGATTGAAGGCGAAACAAACATCTCACCTATAATCATATCTCTGCTCCAGACATTTGTTATATGATTTTCATTAAAGTCCTATCGAAATTTGCTTGTAGCCATTGATAGAAGGAGATATATAGCGATATTTCACTAATGTCTATTGCTTCGAATGAACTTATTACCTAATATTCAATAATTCGAGCTGCAACCATGAGAGAAATACCGCCTGCGATAGCATTTGATTAGATCACGCCCTCTCAAACTTAAATTAACCATTCGAAAACATTAAGCAAAATAAATAATCAAATTGCAACACACTGAAATCTTGAATTGCGGCCAAGCTGTGGTGGAAATCTTGGTCGCACCACAGGCAAAGTATTAATAATGTATGCATTTTCATTTATTTTTCCACGCGCCTTTGACCAAAATGAAGTTTTTCATTTATTCTGGTCTCCACTCGTAAATTACAAACAGCTGGCTTGAGGAGGGGGGTGTGGAACTTTGGTTTTGGGGCCAAGCGAAAATAAAAATAATTTTTTAAAGTGCTGCCCAGACACCGCATCTATTACCCCCCGAAACCCCAGATTGTATCTGCATTATCTACGCCGCCGTATCTGATAATGATCAACTGCTGGCCGACGCCTCAGTTGCCGCCTTTTCCTTTATACTTATACATATATATTTTCCATTATTTCGTATTTTTCATCTTTTTGTTGCCTTTTAATTAAACGCTCTAGCCGCAAGCGGAGCTCAAGTCGCCGGTGGAGTGGAGTCGTGCATAGGCGGCTGCCCCTTTGAGAGACCCTCCGATCTTATAGAGGTTGCCGCCTCATTTTGTCAGTCATGCCGTCATTGCTTCATTATCCACGCGCACATCACTCAACGAACACTCTGCATGCACTTGGTATGGTATGGTATGGTATGGTATGGTATAGCATACATATATATGCACTCAATTCCATAGGAGAACTCTGTTCCATTTCCAGACGGGGTCCATCCAAGTCATATCCGTATTCATCAGCCGATCAATTCGGCTGCATCTCTGCCCAAGCTTTAATCGAATTACTGGCGCACTTCGTGGCGCACTTTCAAACTTATCTCTGTCGCACATATCTCATATTATGATTTTCAAACAACGATTTAAATAAAACTCTATGGAAATCAACTACTAAAAAGTAATACCTTATGTAGACAGACACAAAAGATCGGAAGATCTCAACAAAAATAATTATGGAAATTTGCTCTCTAACTTTTGAAATATAATAAGGAACTGAAAGGGAATATGAAATGGATACAAAATGGAGCGGATCATACACTGAAGGGTAGAATAGGAACTAATTGAAATGTAAACGAACTAAAATCATTGTTATTATGTAATTCTTAAGCGTTGTAAAAAATAAAAAAAATAATGATGTTTTTATAATTAATTTATATATATGTATTGTTTCTGTATTCATTCGGCAGAGATCTCAAAAAACACTATTTGTAAGTTCAAAACTGATAGTACATAGTTCTAGGCAGTGAATCTATCGATTTCCTTTAACAGTTGAATGTACTTTGTTGGAATGTACTTTGAAAGAGAAGAAACACGCACAGTACTGAGAACGTTAGCTGATGTTTGGCCATTTTCCACAACCTCAATAAGCTTAAACGACCGTTGTTCCTATATATGCAAGGGAAATGACCCTTAATATCTTCGATAATACACAGAAACGAATGGAAATTATTACGGATTTATGTCACTGGTATTCAATTCCATGCTCATGCCCAAGGAAGAGTTCATCAAAATCATCTTTGGAAAATTTGTTCGTATATACAAACTAAAATCAACAATATCACGCTAACGCAATTTGAATTCAGCAGCACAGACATATCATGCTTAGGCAGTGTTGTGTTTTCATAAAATTCTTAAGTTCAGCTGGCTGCTCCAACCGCACACTAATTCGCTGAATGCTCCAAGTCTTAGGCACGCACTTCCATCCACCGACACCGACTGAATGTGTTATCCACCCACCCACCAGTCCCACCCGGTAATATGTTAATAGCACTATGCGTCACTTGCATCCTGCCGCATTGCAATCCGCCTCGCATTTTCCCTCCTGTGTGGGTGTCTTTTCGACCGACTTCAGTCTGCCAACTGTCTGCTTTCCTCCATGGACAATATGCTCGCTGCCTGGTGGATGCTTGCGGTTTTCTGATTTATAACACTGTTTACACGCCCTGCCAAAAAGTTTGATTTACTGGCTATTGGACCGGCGGCCACGTGTGCCCATTCGATTGCCATAACTCATACGACCCGTTGGCCGTATGCTACGGAGCAAAAGGACTCACGCATGCGCAGATGGAATGCAACCTCCGCTAATATTAGTTTCTCACCAGAGTATTGTAAATATTATATTTATATTTGCAATATTAATGCCTCATCAATTGCCATAGGTTTAAGCATATATGAAAGTGTTGGAAAGCGGTTCTTCTGCTGCATTAGATCACTCAATACCATCTTTGATTCTGGAAAGAAATGCATTTTTATTGCAAAAGAGCATTATAAGGGCAGCTGGGACTAACATTGTTAAAGTCAAACGTGAAATATACAAAAACCGGGACATTGTGTTGGATTTTGGATGCTACCACAGAAGTTTAATTAAGTTCAATTAATAATTTGAAAATATTTGCAAAATATCCTAGGTTAAACGTCACCACAGGCACAATGCGTGGAAAACGATTCAAATACAAGAAAATACATTAATTTCTGCATCCTCATAATAACTGTGAAACTACACTTATCCCCAACTCATCAAAGCCATGCCGCTCATTTTCCTCCGATTACCCATGCATTTCCTATATGAGTAACTGTTCACGGTGCATCCGCGGTGATGATGATGAAGTTGATGCTTGATTAGCTGGACAGACCCGATCCTCCTGCTCCAGGCACTCCCCCTCCTCCCAATTTTCTCCGCCCCGTCGCCTGCCTGTGTGCATGTTCATTTCAGCCCGGTCCGCAGGCGGCCACCTCACACATTCGCCCATCACACTTCCTTTGAAGTTGCACCGCCATCTCAGCCAAGAGTCGGATCTCTCTGGACAGTTCAGCCACGTCGAAAGCCACCCGTGCGATAAAAAGTACGATAAAACCTAATCGGAAGACCACTCAAGTCGAAGTTTAAGTATGCCCTGCAATATCATATACTTAGGATTGCAAAGTTTTTTATCAAAAGTTTCATAAGTTTGTACAATCTCTGGTCTGGTTAAGCTGTTGTACTATAAAGTTACGTAAGTTGAGCTCGAGTGTTAAGGGGAAGTTGTGGGAGTATGCCAATCAATAGTGTCGAGAAAGGGTATTTTGATATTCTCCAACCCGTTACATCCCGACCATAAAAGCGGCAAAACGGTCGTGCTGGATCGCCGCTCTTATCAACTTGTCCAAAAGCTTTTGCGCTCGTTCAAATCAATTTGAAGCGGTTGGCATCGGCATCTCAGGAGATCTCAAGCGGGGAACCTCCAGTGTTGCCAACTTGTCCTTTTTCCGGATAAATCATAAAAACACCAATATATTAGTCTTTAATTTTGAAAATTTATAAAATCATAATCTTATTGATTAGTGGTGAAATTGTAATACCAAAACATTGTGTATAAATTCATTTTGCAATCAAATCTAATAGTACTGTCCTCGATATTATGTTTAACAAAATATAGTTCTTAGTTTGCGAATGGCATTGATAAAAAGATCTTTAAAGATTTTTGGATACTAAGAGGACAGTGTTGGTATATTTCTCGTAACAGATTCAAATGTTATGTTTTATTTTGTTTTATTTAACTTAGTTTGGGTATCTATTACTATGATTATGTACTCTACTATTAGTATTAGTACTGTATAATACTATGAGTATTAATATGAGTATTAGTATATATTTTGTTTTATTTAACTTAGTATTGAGAGTTACCAATGTCAACTAAGTAATATTGTGTCCTATTTATATTTCCAGTATATTACTTTAAGCAATTTTGAAAGCGCCGGACCCTTCTTATCCGCCGGTTCAAGCCCGCTCCTATTGGCACCACTGGGAGCCACACACATCGGAAAGGTGCGCATGCGCGGCAGATTCGAAGGTGGGCCGCAGTCGGCCAACTGACACATAGAGGGCGATGGTGATAGTGCCCCGCCCGCTGCCCCAACGAGCGGCCACCCCGCCACTTTTTGCGCATTTGGGCCAGCTGTTGGCGGCTTTTTGCCGGTCGGTTGCTTCGGCTTTGTTCTTTGCCGGCAGCGTTTAATGGTTGATTTTGCTCACTCGATTTTTGATTTTTTTGCGCCGCATTTCGGTGTTTCGTTTTGTAGTTTGCGGTGGTTTTTGCTGCCTTTTTATTAAATTATTATTTACTTTTATTACAAAGCGCGACGGCGGCATGGCAAATTGATGCGATATTTCAATTTGCGACGGCCACAAAGCAAGCGATTGTGTGGGGAAATAAATATATCAATGGGGCCGCTGCTGCGCCTACTTGTACACTTGAACTTCAAAGCGCTTTCCCAACCCTTTTGCCAATAACATCTCTTCGCTACCAAAAATAAAACTTACTCACACCGTGGCGGACCCATGGAAATGCTCGACTTCAAAGCAAATTCGAGGGCGCTGGCCGGGGGAATCTCTCGCATAAACAAAGCCAATTGAAATGCTTCTAAAGGGAATTTGCTCTTTGTGTATTTGCTGCTACTTAAGTTGGCAGACCTCCTGGCATCCGCACCGCACCCCTTCCGCTTCCCGGCGATTTGTCTTGCCCGTCACTTTTTAATTGTTGTCAACCCACACAAGGGAACCAGAGCGGTAGAGCTCGGCGGCATTCGGCAGAGGCACTCACTGCGCGAAAAACAATTAAATTATGTTAAAAAGCCTACCAACACCATTTGGGTTTGCCTAGACCAAATTAGGGAATTTCATTTTGTTTGTGGCGGTGAACTTACTACGTTGAACCTTGAATATCACACATTCTAGCGCAGTTTTAGACATTTCAAACAAATTTTAAATGCTGAAAAGAAGTTTGATGCCCGCCTTTTTCTGTAGCTGCAGTTAATGAACAAAACATGTACATATCTACAAATATTTTATTATGTTTTCCTTGTGCTTCTCTGCTGCATTTTCCCCTGTGCAGAGATGGAGCATTGGACATGGAGCTGGCCGCACCCAAGTCGGGCACATGAAAAAGACATCAAAGCAAATCTTGACAAGCGTATATGCCTCTTATCTGCATCGAGCGAAACCAGGCGCAGGCAGCGAGCGGGGGGCGGGCATGGGGGATTGGGGGCAGGACAGTACGGAGGAGGAGCGATGCAAAAGGAGCACATGCACACTCGAACATCCACAGGAAGTGCCTTCCGCTCGGCACTGCAACGCTCTGTTTCTGGTCTACTCCTTATGGGATACATTTCCTGCTGCTGCTGCTGGGCCGTCCCCGGAGTGCCACGCCCCCTGAACGCACTCATACACCCACGGGCAAGTTTTAGCCGTGTTCGAATGCATTTTAAAGTTGGCAACAAGAGCAAACACACTCATAACCGTGACAGCCACAATAAAGTTTCGCCCAAAAAATAGTCATGTGAAGTGTGGGAAGGGGTTTTGGTCAACCAAATTGGACTTTTGGTACTTTGGTACTCAAATAAAGGACATGAGGAGACTTGTTGGAGAAGTTTGCGAACATACTTGTTTCTGGCCCGTAAGGGAGTAATAAAAGTGAGTACCCAACGAGGTGCACCCATGTGTTTTAGCCACGTACTCAGTACAAGCTGAATGTTATTGTCGAGGTCTTTAATCGGTAAATCAACCCTTTGTTATGCCCAACCTTTGATAGAACTACTTTACATTTCATGAAAAATTATGTGTACAAATTTATTTAGTGGTTGGCTAGAGCATCGAAGAAGTAGCACTTCAAGTTACTCACCAAATTCGAAAACATTACACATTCCTGCATGTCGTTTTGTAGCTAAGACTTTTCTTTTTCCTTTTTGCTCTATCTTAATAGAGCCTCACAAATAATTTCAATTAATTTTCCTTTATTTAATTTGAATTTGTAACTTTCTTTACATTTAAATACAATTTCCTCCAAGGGATCACTGAGCTTGAACCTTGAATTTTTATTTAATTGCGGCATCGCTACCATATACCATTTGCATTCCAATTCCTGCGCAACATTCAAAAGATAACTTACTTTAGGTACCACGATATTGGCGGACTTTGATCCAGGTCATAGAACTGGCAGGTTTTCCTATCTTAACTTCGCCAGGAGGCCCCATCCCAACCACCCGTGCGATTCATCCTGTCCATATACTCTGCCCCCTACTTACTTATTCTGAGGTTGTTTTTCCTTGCTGCTGCAACAGCTGCCGCATTTTGTATCTTTTCTTTTGCTGCTGTTGACGTTTATGCAAATTGTGTTGTTATTTTTTGTGTGTCACCGAAAAAAAACAGCAGCAAAAAAACAGAAATCTGGGAAAGCCTCTGCTCGGACCTGCCGACTCCTCCAATCGATAAATGCAAATTTGCGCAAACGAAACCAGGAACACTCCTCTTGTTATCCTTTGCCGAGGATTTGAGCTGAGGATTTCCCTCGCTTTTCATTTAATTTGTGAATTATGAATCTTAAATTGAAGACTGCAGCGGTCGACATTGAGGACAACTAAATCATTCGGCCACTGCTCCATTTATGTACATCCCGGCCAACTTCGTCCTGTCCTCGTTGCGTAACTCCAAAACTCCAAAGTAATTAAATTGAAACAGAGTGCAAAATGCACACAAAAGCCGGAAACTCCATGTGAGGGGTAATGTGGAGCATGGCACATGTCCGTGTTGGAGCAGCACTGCAATATACTTTGTGAACTGCACAAGTCAAAAATGTTTCTATAAACAAATAAAATATGGCATAAGCAAATGGAATATTCTCGAAAAAAACAATTTGTATACACCCTTTAAACTAATTACAAATAATTCTAATTTAACTAATTATCAACTACATGATACTATCTATATGGAGTTCAGAAGGTAAAAGTTAAAGAGCATTTTGAATCCAGAGAAACTCATTTATTTATTATCTATCACTCCATATGAAACACGCATCTGTGATTGAGTATAATTTTTTTTCAGTGTGCGTTGCGTGGGATTTGCCGTGGCAAGAGTCAAGTGTGTTCCCAACAAAAGTGTTGAAAATACCGAGGGAGGGGAGGGAAATGAAGCGAGCAAAGCAACTGGCAGCATGTTGACAGCACATATGCTCCCCTCACCCTTTGCTTCTGTACGAAGTTATAGTTATGATGATTGTTGATTTAGAGTTCTTAGTTTTTAGTTTGCCAGATGGGCCGAGGAGGGATTTGTGTAGCATGCAATTAATTTTGCAGCCCCACTTCAAAGGAGCTGAAAGGAGCCGCCCGTGGACAGATGATGACAACAACTCGGCAGCTCCGTCAATGGGGCCTTTGATGCCATGCCTCCCCATCGGATCCCGATCCCGATCCCGGTCCCGGTCCCAGCCCCAATCCTCATGGGACCCCTGACAGCAGTGCTAATGGGAGACGGAGATGGGCGCAGGGGAAGCCCCAGCGACGGCCAAAACCAATTCGAACTCTTTCTGTTCCCATGGCCGTAACCCGAGACCTCGGAATGTCAAATTCTTGCGGTGCGCTGAAAAAAAGCGTTTTCTAATTTCAATCGAAAACAAAAAAGTGCAGAATGCTACACAAGGTTAAGGAGCAATAAGAAATTATACGTAAAACGCAGGGAACGCGGGCGTACTGGTACTGAAACATAAATAAAACTTAGAAATAAATAAACATAATAAATGTATTTAGAGATAACGCATTTTTAATATTTTAGTATAGACTTTACATACATTTTTATTTATTAACTCAACGTACGGCTGGATACTAATTATCTTAATAATCTTCTTTTAAACTGATAGACTTTGATCATGAAATCTATAAGTATTAAGTCCGGTAGAAACCCATAAAGCCATTATTTTTTATATTTTGGCATTAAGGTGTTTCGAAGTAAAAGGTGGTTTTAAATCTGTCTATTTTTAAAAAGAAGAGAGATCTCTTTAGTAGATTTTCTCAAAACAAACTTGCGCTGCTTTTACGTTTTTAGGATGGGCTTGCTAAATCTAGATTTTCAGTTCACGAGATTCATACGGACAAACTAACAGACAAACGGACATGACCAGATCGGCTCGGCAAGGGATCCAGATCAAGTATATATATACTGTATTGGTCTTTACGCTACGAGTTCGGAGGCCTGGAAGCTAAGTTATATATTTAGTCGAAAATTCAACTCTAGCCAAATGTAACCATATTTTCTGACAGTGTACAACCCCCCTCCTCATGTGTTCATGCTGCGGCTGTCTGCACTGGCCGCCTGTCAATGCGAGAGGTCTTCACTTGACTCTGCCGCTCTTCTTGCGGTTGACATTCGCGACTGGCGGTCGAATCCATGGCCTCCACTCCAGTTGCTCCCCTTTCCGCGATCTTTCCCAGTCCTTTGCCCCTGTGACAAGTGTGGCTGTGATGGAACACCAAATAGGACTGTCGGGTTATAAAGCTGACAGCGAAATAGAGTAGAAGTTGACCGCCATTAATGGGGCTTGAACTTGGAATCCGATGAGCGCTTATGATGGGGTTCAAATGTGAATTTCTGCCTTTAATAGTTGAATAGCTTGATAACATATTATATTTAAACGTGGAAAAATTAAATAAAATTAAAAAATCTGAATATATTCTTTCTGGGTTTTATAACATATTTAAACGTGAAACAAGTTAAACAAAAATACGAAAGTTTTATAACAACTTCCATCTGTGGGAGCTCTCCATTAGAACAAGTCTATGATGGTTGATCTCCAGAATTAATCTTAATTCTTTGGAATGAAGAGCCATGTCATGTGAATACCATCATGTCACTTGTGGTTTACATATCAAGTTTCCAATGCCTAACCAAAAATATTTGCATAAAGAGAGGAAACCAGACCCCGTGTGCATTTTCCTCCCAGGGTTCTTCAGTAGCTTACCCTCGACATGTGTGCAAAAATACAGTTTTATTAACAGGCAGCCGGAGGAGGAAACCAAGTGAAAATGCTCCACCCACAGGGCACACATGCATCCCACGAATTTCCACTCACCTGCTTTCGTTTTCCCTTTGTCTACGTGTGTGGACTGATGAAAGCAAACAGGTGACTTTGCTGCAACAACTGGCATCCTGCCATCCTTTGCGGAGCATCCGCAGCCGCATCCACATCCACATCCACATCCGCGGCACATCCTCAGAGACACTTGAGCCGCACTCGGCTTAAATGAAGTGCATACGCCGCCATGCACATCAAAGCCTGCCGACATTAGCCCCGTGCAGTCGACTAATTAGCCACGCCCCTTGCCCCCGAGATGCCATATTAAACCATAATTAACGCTAACTGCTCTATGCCAACTAAAAGAATTTTGAATGCTCAAGGAGAGTTCAAACAAAATGTGAAACAAAACTTGCGCGAAATGGTGTGGGAATTTAGGTAGAATTCAAAAAAAGATATATATTTAATTTAAATTGGTCTAATATTTTAATTTATTTAAACAAAAATATGAGTCCAATGAGTAGAAGCTTAAAACCTATAACTAAATAGATTTTGCTCTGTGAGTTGAAAACAAATTCCAGATCTAGAGGTTATTTTATATTTTATTCAACAATTCAGACATGGCTTTATAAAATATCCTTAATTTAAAGTATTCAGAACAACTTAACCGAATTGAAAACTGCAGCTAGTTTTCCCATTGTAAAAAAGGGCACCGCATTACATATATATATAATAAAAACGTTAAAGATTTTAATTTCAGCTCGAAACTAACAAGGGGACATAGATATTTTATCAATACTCAGTTGCATTTTTTAGCTGAACCGTTGCAGCTTAACAGCATTTGTTTCTATGAAGCTATGTTTTTTAGAAAATATAGGAAATATAGGAAAGGTGTTGTCAGTCTTTGAATTGAAATATTAATTGAAAGAAATAGCGGTAAAGGGTTTTGACATTAATATCAGAATATAAAATCAATTTCAAATACCCAATTTATTGTTATATTTTGTCAGTACAAATATCCTCTGTTCAATGTTTGAACGTTCGTTCAAAATATTTACAATTTCTAAATTTTAAAACTTATCGAAATACAAAACCACGCGTACTAACAAAAAATCACGCTTAACACTAGACGATATTTTGATGTATAGGTTTATAGGTTTGGTGGATACATTTTGTGACGCGGTTTATAGGATCGGAATGTACTCCGTAAACAATCAAGGACCTAATAGTTGGGGCACGTAAGCATTGACACTGTGCAACTTTAGTGGGTCTGCATTAAAGATTGTCCAGTGATTTATTTCCCACCCTAAGCCCTGCTTTCCCGTCCTCTTGCTAGACCAATTATACGATACTGAAGTTTAGCTAGTCCTAGCATGAGGATTTGAAATCGGGACGAACATCCATTCTATGTGATCCACCGTAAGGTCTAGTAATATTTTTCGTAGGGAGATATATCGTTATGAGAACCTTCGTTCTGCTTCCTCCTGTGATGTCTTTCGATCGCTTGAGTATATCCGCTGCTGATTCACGTACAACTGCAAGGGCGGTACCTGTCCGAGCAGCTGAATCGGAGGTGGGGGAGTTAGGTCCAGTGGCGTAGTAGACGCTGTTGATGGACTTGTCGGTGAGTTGGAGCTCATGCTCGAAGAGCTGGACCGCGCTGATAAAGATTGAGCGGATCGCGTTCTTCTGAGCGACTCTGTTCCCTTAGAAGATCTAGCACTCCCCTGGTCACCATAGCTATGCACTCTGCCAACCACCTTTAGATTGGTTCTGTATGGTGGCTTGTCCTGCGCGGCTTGGCTGTGGTAGGATTTTCTTAGTATAAAGCAAATGGCCAGGAAAGGAATGGTTAAAATTCCAAAAAAGCCCACAGCTATTATAAGCAGGACATCCACACCTTCTGCTCTCCAAAAGTTTAAAGTATTGGCGTGGGATTTAAGAAAGTCAGCTCCTCCAGATTGCAAAATAAGCTGTATTTTTCGCACTGCTTTTCCAACTGGCGTGGAGTCCCTGCTAATCAGTCGTTCTTTGAGTTGACCCAACTTTTCCACGTAGCTGGTATTCAGGGTGAGCTGTCTTATCCCATGGAGCAGGGAATCGTAAGCTATCGAGTCGTAGCCAACGGTCACGGAGACTCCATGGCGCTGCAAGCGCTTAGCCATCACCTCCTGTTCGGCAAGAATGGGTATGGCAAGTATTGGCTTTCGTCCACTAATCGATTCCCAAACACTCAACTGACCGCAGCTGCTAACAAACATCTTCACCTGCGGATGGTGAAGGATTGCCTGCTGTGGCCACCAATCAGCAATCATAACGTTCTCCGGCAGCACCTGGTCGGCCGTGAACTCCTCCTTTTCCCACTTTAGCAAGAAGTGAAACTCCTTGAGGTGGCCAAACACATCCAGAATAATGGCCAACTTTTCCTGAGGCAGCTGAGCTGTTTCCACATCAGCGCCCAGGCTAAAGTAGATGACCCCACTAGGAGCAGTTTCCATGAACGACAGAAGATGCTAGAAATAATTCAAGTTAGTGGTTAGAAATTATCAATGCATTTAACACACCTTTGGCAAATGGGAGTCATTAGAGTGACTCAAGTGCAGGCCGCCCACTTCCACCATATTGGGCAAGTATGCACGTGGATAATGTAGGCCTGGATGGGAGTTGATCAAGGCCAAGCTCAGGTTCTTTGTCAGATCTCTGTAAAGCGGCAGTTCCTTTACGAGCAGTTCGAAGTGATTGGTGTACACGGACTGCTGGGAGATCAGGTGGAAAAAGCTGTAGAACACAAAAATAACGATACTGTCTAATGTAATGTAAAGGATATTTTACGAAGATTATTTTCCTACTAATAGTATTAATTACTGAAGAGTAATTTCACTATGAAATGATACACAGTTATAAAAGTTCTACTGAATTTGGATCGTACTTGTAGGTCAAGCGCTCAAAGGTGCTCATAAGTGAGTTTAGAATCCTCTGCCTTGTGTTCATCCTCTCCGTGAAAGGTAGAAAATTGCTGGGATCCAGTGAGGATGATTGGGGATTGCCAAACACGTTATTCAGCCAGGAATTCGCGCCGGTGGGACTGACTGCAACGGTGGGTATGCCATAGTAAAAGGCCAAGCTAAAAGGGGACAGATTTCTATTTGAAGTAGATACCTAATGAAACCCGTTTTTAGACTCACCCTAGCAGAGCATCGCTTAGGAACAAGTCCACTATGAGTAAGTCGAACTTTTCGCCGCTGATCAGGAGCTTTCGGACCTGGGGATCCGACAGCAAGATGTCCACATTGGTGGTGCCAGCGTAGATCAGCCGGGTGAACCTTTCCATCACACTTTGCGCTCGCATTTCCTCGGCCTCGAAACTCATGCCCATGTCCAGCCAGTTTTCCCGCAGCCCTTCGATGCGCAGCTCCCTGATTCTGGGTATTTCCGCATCCACGTCTTCCTGCGCGGCATGTGGACTGATCAAAGTCACGGAGTGGTTTCCCGGACTCTCCACCAGTTCCTGCAGCAATCTCCGACCAAAGAGATAGTGCGACTTCCAGACACTGGGAAAAACTGCCAGTATATTGGCGCCCAGGACGATGCCGCAGAGCAGCGAGCCCAAAAACACCTGCAGTATTCGCATTTTGTGTTTGTGGATAATATCCGCAGTGGCCTTTGCATCCGCTTCTACGTCCGCATCCGCATTCGTGTCTGTGTTTCTGCTTTTCCGGTTTTTTTCGCAAAAACATACACAACATACACAGCACACACACTCGCACGAGCACAGGGCTTCTATTATTATCTGCTGCTTCTGCTCCCGGGTTTTCCGCCGATCTTCATCATCTTGCTGCCACGACGCGATGGCACAATATCACAGCTGTTAAAAAAACACACAAATCGCCAAATAAACTGCAGTGCAAAGGTAACGAAAGGGAAAAGAACGGCAGCAACAACTGCGGCTGTGTCGGCGTTTCCTGAGAATAGCATTCAGAGATGTCCGGCTAGCTGTTCAGACCGGCAAATCTAGCTATTTTGCAGCTTAGAGAAGCATCAGCGATGGCGCGCTTACTTATGTGTTTTAAAATCAAGCAGAGTGGAATTCTAAGGAAGAGAAGAGCAATCTTTCGCACTCATGCTGTAGAGTATCGGAATACCTGACTTCTCAGCAGCGTCTATTAAAAGTTACTGAAGCATTTCGGAAGTTGTATCCAATTTATACTCAAATGTTCTTTGTAAATATGGAACTCAGGGAATTCTACATATCTTAATGCAAACATGCAATTTTAGCTATTTTATTGAACTGCTTTCTTGTAGCCTCCGCACATTACACTGCTTGCCCTGGTATTTCCCACCAGACCCACGCACGGTCTCACTAGTGTGCAAAGCCACCCCCACCCGCCACTCTGCTTCTTCTTCGCCGTCACAGTAAACAATTTGAAATTTGCATTTATTCGCTACTTAGTTGCCATTCATCCGGCAAATTGCACGACAAAAGAAGCGCTAAATTGAGTAGTTGCGGCGTGCACAGCAAGTACAAGCGGTACCACAAACGCATAGCGAAAAACCAAACAGAGAGCGGACAAACAAATCAACTTTTTTGCAAATTGGAAGAGTGCCAAAAAACGGCGAGCGAAATAAAAAAAGTGAACATTTGAACCGCATTACGAAGCAAAAAGTGAAGCGAACAGCTGGCGGATCAGGTGCGTTGCTATAACAAATCATTTGATGTTAAATCGGCCCTAAGCAAACACCTAACGTGAAAATCTGGCCAAAAGCACAACCAGCAACAACAACAGCAGCAGCGAGCCGCAATAAACCGGCAACAGCTGAAAGCTACTGCTTACGTAAGCCGCTCGTAATTACAAGCAGTTAGGCCAGTGGATCAGCAGCCAACATGTCGCAGGTATCAAGTAAGCATCAAAGTACCCTTTACTTTTCATGGGTTCCCACGAAAATCCAATCGATTGAGCGCTGAAGTGAATACATTCACAGAGGAGTCAAGGAAATATGTTTGAGCCGTCTTAAATGAACCTTTGCTTGTGTGTTTTGCGCAAATAAACCACATTAAAAGGATATAACTTGATTCCTCTGATAGCCTCTTCGTTATCCAATCAGCTTAGTCGTGTTTTTGGTCAAGAGCTTTTCGAATACATAAGACAGTTTATGACACCAGGAAACACCTTTTATTTGCTTTTCAAGCTCTTAAAAAGTTTACTCATTTGTTCTGACAAAACTGTTTTCAGTATTTTATTTATAGACATTTGTTAAAAATATTTTAAAAATTTAGAAGTGCACTTACGAAAATGTTTTATTTTTGCTGTTTTATACCTTTTACTTAAAGACAGGTAAAGACAATGGTATTCTTCTTACAATTTTTAAGCTTACTAGTTAATAACATTTGAGTTAATATCACTTTCTTCAAATCAAAACCCTCGTTTAAATATTACCAACATATAAAACCAAGCACGTTATAAATCTGGAAAGTGTTTGATTTTCGTGAGCGCCCAAAAATGCGAACAATCTTTTCCCACTAACCAAACAATCCTTAACCCTAGCCCTTATCGATGTGGACAAGCCGCTCTTCGATCTCAGCACCTTCGCTGGACGCTTCCAGTACTTCGCCTGGATGACGGATCCCCGGACCGTAGTCCTCTCCAGCGATCGCCTGCTGGAAGCCAAAACCATGGTTGAACGCTACCGGAAAGGCGAGCAATCGGAGCAGTTGAAGTCGGAGCAGGTGCACTACAACATGAAGCTATACAACTCGGCCTTTCATCCGGATACTGGCGAGCTGCAGAACTTTTGCGGTCGCATGAGTTTTCAGGCAAGTCTCGAGATGATTTGGCACGTGGGTGCTGAAAATAGAACCGTCTGACGTGGACGCTCATGAATTGTTTGCCAAAAGTACAGGGGGGCACGATATCAAGACCAATTGCACAAAATGCCAAATCCTTAAGATGAATGATTACTTGCACAATTTTAAAATGTTCATTATTTATGAAATGTTATGTAAGTTCTTCTTAAAGTGCCATTAATCAACTTTAATTATGGTTGTTTTTTGCATGAAAGATCCCTTTCTCCTAAGGGCTTTTTCAAATTGATTTTATAAAGAGTTCACCCGTTGACCAGTCTCACTAATTGCTGTGTGCTTTTGGCCTATCTTCAGGTACCCGGGGGCATGCTGATCACCGGTGGCATGTTGGCCTTCTATCGCACCGTGCCCGCCGTGGTGCTCTGGCAGTTCATCAACCAGTCCTTCAACGCTGTTGTCAACTACACGAATCGCAATGCCAATTCGCCCACCAGCGTTACGCAGCTGGGCGTGGCCTATGTATCCGCCACGACTTCGGCTCTAGTAGCAGCTATTGGCTGCAAGAACTATTGGTCGAAGAAAGCGACACCGCTGTTCCAAAGATTTGTGCCCTTCGCGGCTGTGGCGGCGGCCAATTTCGTCAACATTCCTCTGATGCGACAAAATGAGATACTCAATGGCATAGAGGTGAAAAACGGCGAGGGAGAGGTTGTGGGCCAGAGTAGATTGGCAGCCATCAAGGGAATAGGTGAGGTTGTTGTGTCCAGGATTGCGATGGCGGCGCCCGGAATGCTGGTGCTGCCCTTGATAATGGAGAGGCTGGAGAAACTACCTGCCTACAGGCGCATCAAGTGGATTAATGCTCCATTCCAGACCCTATTGGTTGGGTGCTTGTAAGTAACTTTTCCCTCGACCACTAGTTCCTTCAGCTAATCTATCTATTCGTTAACTTTAGCCTTTGCTTCATGGTGCCCACTGCCTGCGCCCTGTTTCCACAGCAGTGTTCCTTGGACACTTCGATTATGCGCACCTTCGAGCCCGAACTTTACGAGGACCTCGAGAAGAAAACTCAGGGTAATGTGCCCAAGCGTGTCTACTTCAACAAGGGTCTGTAAGATCGAGCTGATAATAATCCTGAAATTGAGGGAAGACAATTGTGTGTTAGTGGTAGCCGTTCTCGTCATGTTTTATGTAGCATTTACTGTTTTAGATCGCGCAATTTTGCAGTTGCAGTTGTTCCTTGTCATGTGTCAATTGTCGTAGTTGCTAAGCTAAAAAGAATCTCAGCTCTATTTAAATATAATGTTCGAGCCTGCTAGGGTTTTCAAATTGTGATCTTATATAATTTAACAGTGCAGCAGGGAAAAACTGTTTATAGTTTGGATTTCTTATTTATCAAGTGACTTTAATACCCGAAAAATGTATTTGCTCATATAGAAAACCATGGCAGGACTAGCACTTAATGGTTATAAATATTCATATATGTATGTCCTAAACCGTGTTCATATTATTTATTATTTTCAAATATGATCGTTAAAGGTAATGAAAGCTGATAATTGATTAATTGATAATTTAGATCCATTGTGAAACTAACTAAACTGAGATGCTTGCTCAAAAATGTAATTGAAACACAAACAAAACCACCCAGGACAATGCTTTCAAAATTCACTAATATCTAACAAACAAGTCGTTTCATTTAAAAACTAATTTGCTCATTGTTTGAAATAAAAGTTTAAAAATAAAACTAAAGTTTCACGGGTTTTAAAAACGGGTTTATTAGTTATGTTCTTGTATCCTGTATAAGTATATATATCATTATATATAACGCTGCGGGGCTGTCGTTTATTAAGATATTCGGTTTCCTTCATCGTGTTGTAAAGTTTACAAAATGTGCAAAACACAACTAGGTAGCTATAGAATATTCGTCCTTAAACGTTGACAGAGGGGTACTCTTTCTCATTGTTTGCCTTTTTATCGAACGGTTTGTTTGCATTGGTTGCTACCGCCGTAAATAGTATTTATTAGACTTTCTCAAGGTACAATTTCGTTTTTCATTCAAATTTATATTTGGTTGTAGGTTTTTCTCTTTATTTGTTGGCACTGTTGCTTGAGTATCTTTTTATCTCGGTGCTAAATATTGATGGAAAAATTCAACACTCAGATGTACAATATGTAAAATCTTTTATCTTACGCTAACAAAAACCAAAAAGGAAACAAATCTCAGCAGTTATTCCCACGCCACGCCCATTTTGGGGGCATGGGCAACAAACGCGCTGCCTGGCAGCCAAATTTCGATTCCATTTCGCATTAGCTTGTAAAAAGTGAATCGCCTTGTGCCTTAAAAATTGGATTTTGCCGTATGGATCAGCAAACACTGTTTAATACATTTTTGTTACCTTAATTATTAAGTGGCAAAACGTTTGGTACACAATTATTTACGGGTTTCTGGAACCTCTTTAACTTCGATTTCAATATTCATTAATTGTATTCTTAGTTATTTATACTGACTGAGGCTTTCAACAATAAATTGGCATTTCAAACTTGATTAATGCTTGAGTAAGTTTTCCTAGATGTTTGGCTCATAGCTGGGAAAGCTCGTTCAAAACCGTAGTGGTTTCCTTTGCAAAAATCTTACGGGCTAGAGCAACTAGCTTAGCAAGCTTCCTTTTGACCAGGAACTTATTATCCGTATTTAGCTGCCTAATCAAAACTCATTCGTTGGCTTAAATAAAGCCGTTTTTCCAATCAAAACTTGTCCTGCTTCGAAACTTAAGGTTGCTTTACAATAAAAACAGTTCAGAGTGGACATGATTTCTATGGTATGTTGTGCGACTTAGCACTCGCATATTTTGTGGGACCAACCTAAGTTGGGTTCTATACTTCCCAAAGCTTCTAATATCGCCCTCTTGCAACTCCGATGGGCTGCCCTTCGTTCCTGAGCTTTAAAATTTAGAATATTCTGACTTTCACTTACCACATCAGCATCTCTCCCATCCTTATCAAATCGAATCAGTCGAGCTTCGGCTGGAAACGAATCCTAGCCTTGGGCCAAGGAGAGTTGTTCACGATCTTATAAATCCAAGTAACCTATCCATTCTGGCATATCAACCTTTCTTCTCCGAATTCTCAACACACGTTAATATATATATTGTTTTTATATCGCGCACAGCCTTATTTTTCCAAAAAAGTTTCTGGGAATTTTTAGTTTTTTTCATTTGTTTCTTTTACATATTAACCATTATTCAGATGAATTTTTGTTCATATTTTTTGTTTCTTGAAACGTCACCTGATAAAATTTTGTACCAACTTTGCCTAACTGGAGTACAGCTGAGATACATACACTTTATTTTTATCCATTACATAACAAATAAATCTCTTAATTCATTTCCTTCTTTCTGTCCTAAAACTTTATCATATCGTTTGTAGAAAACAACTTTATGCGACCAATCGGCTTTTCCTATAATCTAGACAAATTCTCAAACCTTGCTAGAATCTGTTTATTTTTATGGTCTATGCCGATATTTTTCAGATCACCCCTTAAAAACAATAAAAAATGTTTTGCTTTTGGGAAATGGATTTTTTTTTGAGTGTCGTTATTTGTTTTGTGCAAATAGTTGTATTTTATTTTCTTTGTTTAGTGTTTTTTCTGTTGTTTTCAATTTAAAAAATTTGTCGATATTCGAGATTTTAGTTCACTTTACACTTATATGACTTGGCATTCGGTAATTAAGTGGTAGTATATTTATATTAGAGGCCGTCTTTCGCCAATCGCTCCGAATATAACAAATTTTACATTTATAAACGATTTCGAGTTTAGTAAAATTTAAAACTAAAAGTAAAACTATTTGCCTAGAGAAACTGTTTCCAGTTTGTTTATTTACGCTTCGGCTTCAATATATTTATTCTCTTGACTTGGCTTAGGAGTTAGATACAAACATGTACACTGCGCATATATAAATATATTTTATATATTTTAGTTTTCATTCTTTTTCATATACGTGTAGTTGGTTTGCGTGTGGATAACGTTGGATTTTGTCTGCACTTTACTTAAAAATGTACTAAACATTAAGTTATTTATGTGGTATTAATCAATAAGTGTACGTTGGGTAATTCTCCAAGACTTTGTACATTTATTAAAGTTTGAATTCGTACCCCTATTTAATAAGCGGCTCATATGTATGTGATTATACGGGTGATTTGCGCGAGAACCAAGTTAGGAAAAGCTCCGCCATTCAGGCCGCATCCTCATCATCCTCTGCCCTGGTTATGATGTCCTCATCGGCCATTTCCTGATCGCGATGCTGCACCATCTCCACTACAGAGACTGCCTCCGCAGTGGTCGTGGTCGATGTGGACGAGCTGGTGGTGCTGGCCGGAGACATGTTGTCTGGGTTTACCGCCAGGCACATGGGCGGCGGCGATGTGGCGGCAGCTGCAACTGGCATCTCCTGACTTGGTGGCAGCACGAAACTTTTACCACCAAGCTGTTCTCATTTGAGACCCGTGTCGGACGGGGTCCAGCGGTCGAACTCGATGCCGGAGTCTGGCGAGACCCCGGTGGCATTCGCCAAATGGGCGGCCATAAAGCCCGTGGTTTGCATGCAATTGCAGTCCGGCGCAATGCAGCTGCACGAGAACCTGGAGCCGGGTCTCAGGCGCAGTTGACCCTCGAAGGACAGCAGCTGCTGCATGAAGTGGAAGTTGGGCGAGACATCCGGCTTCCGGTCCCGCACCATCGCGAAGGCGTCGTTGAGACTCAGGCCCCGGGTGTGCATCAAGTAGGCGAGCGTCACGGTCACCGAGCGCGAAACTCCGGCCAGGCAGTGGACCAGCACCACCGAGCTTGCGGACCGCGCTTCCTCTGTGAATCGGAAACAATACAGAGCATTAGCTATAAATTGACAAAACAGGATGATGTCACAGGACTTTGGGCATTAATAGTTTCAGTCTTTAAAACGGTTTTTTTGATAATCATAACATCATTAATATAAATCAGGGAGGAACGATATTGAAAAATGCCTCGTTTATCTTATACCCCTTACTTTGAAGGCAAAAACATATTGGAAATCCTACTGGAATATCTTTATGTATTGACTATTAAATGTGCGACTTAAAAGTTAATGAGTCACCTGACTATAAAAATGTTCCTTTTAAGTAAATATGACTACCCTTTAAATGACGAATTTCAAAGAGAAAGAGAAGTAAAGAATTTTTCTTATCCAGTAGAAAACCTTACCTATAAACTGTATGGCATCCGGGAAATGTATGGCCAAATCTTGTGAGTAATGATCCGTGATCGGAATCTGCAGATACTTGATGTCGCCGGACTCCTTGAACTTATTTGGCAAATCTGGTGTCACATTCAAAACATACTGTTAAGGGAAAAAATATGATTAAATAAAGTAAACTGGACAAGTGAACAGTGCTTACCTTTATATTGTACTTTTTCAATGCTTCTGAGTCGCAGCTGTGGGTGGCATTTCCCAGGAAGAGTAGTCCAGGAATTATCTCCACGGGCGCCTCGTTGTAATTGTGGTGATTTTGGTGGTGGTGATGGTGGCTGGAGCTCTCGCAATCCGACGATTCCGCCGAACTGCTGCACGCGGAATCGGATAGCGTTGTGGAAATGCGTAGGGACCTGGATAATTTGGTAGGGTTAAATTCAGGTATTAGGAATAATTAGTCAAGGGGTGCAAAATATTTCATTTTAAACAGTCGTCGGAAAGGTGTTACCGATATTTTACAATTCCTAAATTGTTGAAAATTAATCATTATTATGTATATTTCAATAATTTTAGTTACATAAATGAGATAACATGAGGACATAATTTGTTGCATTTAAAAATCTTTAAGTTACTTTCCGACTTTAAAAATCTGATAAAATTACACCTATACCACTTGTATATGGTGTTTCAATCGATATCTTCTTGCATAACTAATATGCTCGACTTACCTAAGACCCATTAACTGATCGGTCTGGACATTGCGACTAGATTCTATCTCTTTGTTGTGCGCCTGATTATCGTCCTCGCACCACTCCGGAAATGCCTGGCGAAAATTGTTAAAGCCATCTGAAAGATAGAAATGCGAAGAAAGGGGTTAATTTTAGAATGCTTTTTGAGCAAAGCGCTGAAAGCACCAACTCCTTTTGCCCAACGTGTCATTTGAGGCCTCTGGAATTTGACGTTCGTTATGCTTGGCCAAGTGTAGCTTTTTGGTCTTTCGTCTTTGGTAAGACAACACCTACGCGACATGTAGCTGCTATTAACCCAACCAAAGCCAAGAATGCGTGAAATTCTGGCAAGCGAATCATTCATAAAAAGGGGGAAAAGGAAAACTAAGTAAAAAAGGCAGGGAAGGTACTGGTGATCTTCTTTTCTCCAAATGGAAACGGAAGTGCGTTTCTATATTTACAAGCCTGAGACTTGTATGGAAACTGTCATAAAAAAAAAGCGAACGGCCACTGCTCATCAGCATAACGCAAAACGGAAGCTTACAATTTTCTACTTGCCGCATATTAAATGCGAAAAACAGCAAATTGAATAAAACGGAAGGCGCAGCAAAGAGTTCACTGGCAATCAACTTATTTGTCGGCCAACGGGTGGTATACGCACTCTATGCCGTCTCAATCTGCATTTTCCGCAGAACTTTAAAAATAAACCAAGATAAAGGCGAATTGAACCGAGCGACCATGGCCATGTATATCAATCCCGGGTATGACATAGCAAACTGCATTCGATTGCCATTTCCTTCTCAAACAAACTTGGCCTAACATCGAGCTCGGCCGAATGAATCGCAGGAAATAGATGAAAATAAACACAGAAAGGTTGCTGAATATCACGGAATTTCAACTTTAACTGGTGTTCATCATTGCTTTTTAAAAATGGATTTTGATGGTATCTCAGCAAGGTTCGCCGAAGTATTTTTGGCACATAATTAAATATTTAGGTGGTCACCCCTGCAAATATTTCGTTGGCTATCAATGATTCAGCCTGGATAAGTGGTAAACTGGATTGCCGCACACTCGTGAAATTGTTGAGATTGTGGGATGAATTTAGAAAAAATACAAGAAATTAAATTATGTAAAAAAATACAATTTATATTATATAACATGGAGGCTAGTACACTACTAAATACATATTTATTCAAATTATGCTCAGTAATTACTCTAGCTTCCGAAAGCCGGATTCCTCTGATTTGTACTCAAAATCCGTAACCTCCTTCTACATTTTTATACCTTGCCATACAGAAAACACAATTATATTACCCCTGCAGGTAACTTTCCCTATTATAAACTAACCAATTTATATCTTCCATATGGCCATTGTTCCCCTCGTTTTCCACTTGTTTTACCCTCATATGGCTGATAGTCACACACATGTATGTGGGTATGTGCGAGTATCTGTAACTTTATAGTTTTTTATATTTTTTTGTCACGTTCTGTGTCACACTTGTGAGTGCTTTTGTGTTCAGATTGTTTCATTGATGAGTTCACACAAAACAAAGAAAAAACAAAACCACAAAACAAACGTGAATAACAGTGGAAACGACCTTCAAATCGCTGAAAATGTAAACTTGAAAAAACGTCAACAAATTGCTGAACTGAACAAAGCGAAAACTAAATAAAGGCAAACAAAAACGCTTTTCAGTTTATCTCATATCTGTTAGAAAACCGGATTTTGGCAACATCAGCACACCTTGAATGAAAGCTCCCACCCACCGCACCATCAGCAATCTAGCAACCCACTTAAATCTTCTCATCAGCACCGCCCCCTCAGCTCCAAATTTGTTTTTGGAATTATAAAAAACTTGTGGCTATATATGTAAAAAGGGAGACAAAGTCTGGGGGCTTAAACGATTTGTTCCGCTCATTCATGTTTTTTCAGTATTTATATTTTTAATTCATTTTTCACTTTGATTTGTTGTCATGTTCATTACATTTTTGTTTCATGCTGTACATTTTGCTTTGCTTTTAAATGTTCCTAATTGATAGTTATTTAGTGACTTATATAAAGTATAGTCAAAATTATTTGGCTTTATTCTTTATGAGCTAAACTAAAGTTATGGAGTTTCTGGGCAAGATCAGTTCGGCCCGTTCATATTAATTCATAAATTGTTTGTTTTTAATTATAGTACATATAACATTTCCCCACTAGTTTCATTTTGTGCTTATCTGGCTCTCTCTTGTTCGTTTTGTTTATCTCCGTGTGTAAATATAAAAAATAACAACAGACGCAAAAAAGACAAAACGTGAGTTAAATAACTTTTAGCTCACTTCGCTGGGTTCCAGCAGTTCCGCAGATACGGATACGCCGAGCACTCAGATACGCGCACACTCACACCCACACCCACAACCGCAAGCTATTCATTCACAGGTACCACTTCAGAACCCCTATCCCCCATCCCCAATCCCCCACTCACCCCTTTCTGCGCTTTTTTTGCTCACAACGGATATGACGTAGGCGTGTTTTTCTACGCTTTTTTCTATTTTGCCGCATGAAAACAGTTAGAGAAGTGTTTTTCAAGGGGGAAGCCCTTGTATGGCTCGCCATTCTGTGGGCGTTTTTCGAGTGTGTGCCTTGTTTAATTCATTTGCGGTTTTAGTTGACGCAGATCCCTAAAGTGGAACACTGGATGCAGAGCCCGATACGCAACCAGACCCCAAAACCGAATCCCCAGCCAATCGAGGCACGTACACTCATCGGTAGCACTCATTGATGGATTCCACGGAGCCCCCAAGCCGGAAGTTGAGCACATGCATGCTGCGGAACACGGCGCAGACCGAACATTTCCATTTCTATGCCCGCATCTGTGCTCATTTGGCTTTGTTTGGGTTGCTTTCGAAATTTTTTCTTGGAAATTTGTAAATGGATTTCAGAATTAAGGAGAAGCCAAGAGGAAGCGCTCGGTCCTAAACAATGTGTTCGATTAAATAAATTAAGAAACTCTTAAAAGCAGTATTTATTATTTATAATTTTGAATAACTTTAAATGGTGTCAATATTTTTCAACATGAAAATATTTCAAACGTATCACACTTCTTATGGCTCATATCATGGTTCATGTTTCCAGGGGCTGTGCTTTTTTAATCACTCCCGGCACACAAACTCCTCAGCCGCATTCCCGACAATGTAGCTCTTTTTTCGAATTCTTTTGCCATGGGAATTTTGAGCCATTAGGCGTATTCGCCGAGGGAGTTTTAAAGTTGAGCAAATCGATATTACGCATACGCAGTGTGTGCGGCGGTGGGTAAACGTTGTTTACTCGCACCCAGGTCGGAGCGAGGCGAATCCGGTGCTTTGTGGTCTGGCAAATGCATTCAGCCGGTCATTGCACAATGCCAGATACCGAGATACTCAGTACTATAAATATATGGAAGCTATCTGCATATATATGTACATACATACGTACATGAGTAAGTGTATATGCCATATACACGCACGCATGTGTGCATTTGTGAGGCACTGGGTGGCAGAATGGGGAGTGCTGGCATGAATGAAAAACCAGACCACGAGACAACGCCTGCAGTTCAATGCTATTTGTCAATGAGTCAGTAGTCGGCAGTTGTCGCTTTTCAATTTCAACTGGAATGGGAAATGGAAAATGGGAAATGGGGATCGAGCAACGAGGAAGAGCCATAAAACACTACGGCAATCATAATGCGAGTCCCATTTGGGGCCCCATATCCATTAGCCATATGCATATAGAGCATTTAGTATCTCCCATCGATGTGGGCGGGTGCGTGTGCTTTTCCCCCGCCCAACGTGGCCCCAATTTTGTTTACATTTCTCTTGAAAAAAAGAATTCCAATTTTTTATGCCTTTCACTGAGGGAAAATGATAGAACTTCCATTCTGTTATTTAAGTTCTTTTACAAATAAATAGCGTCATTGGAGTGGATATAGTGGTTTATTATAAAAAATAAAAACAATTGTGTATCAGATCTGCATTGAAATTAAATGATTAATTAAAAGCATATTTGGCCTAAGATTGCTATGTCTTATATAAAATAATCAAGCTATAAACATATTGTAAACATACATGTATGCCAAATAAAGCAAGAAGAAAAATCGAGAAGCACGAAGAAAATCGTTTTTTGTCGTGTGCCTTGCTCTAAAATATGGAGGCATATTTTTTCCAGCTTGGCATAAACAAAGTGCAGAGGAATATGTTCGAAGAAAAAACGAGACTGAAAACAACTTGAGGAAAATATTAATGTCTGCCACTTCCGCCTGCGTTTATTTCGATCGAGGAATGGCTGATTTACCAATCATTGCATTTTCTCGTCGATGAGAATAATTTCTTAATCAACTGCCGCCCGTGTACCTTTTGCTTGTCTGAAAGCGTTGACATTTTAACTACTTCAACTCGTGTTAGGGAACGGAAGTTGATTGATTACAGCATGATTGATTGATGCGCAGAGCCCGAGAGACACGAAAAGCGACTTGCAGAATGTCAGACGTTCACGTTTACTTTGGATGCACTTGGATTGCCCTTGGCCATTTTGCCAGTGGTAAAAAGCGGAAATTACGCCGGCGTTTGCATATGAGAACACCTTAAAGTTGCCTGGCATTTAGCAAATATCACACAGGCTGGGTGGTGTGAATTAAAGGGCACTCTTGAATTATTGATTCGGTGAAAGTTTCAAGACAATCAATCAAAGAGTTTGACACTGGATTGTGATCGATAGATTACCATATTCACTTTGCTTCGCCTTTGCATATTTAATTACAAATTCTTGCTTTTTGGGAGGCACTCTTAATTAGGTAGGGAGAAAAGATGTGTTTTGTATTATTACAAAACATAGGAGAAAAGACATTTCAAAACTAGAGATCTTCATCTTCATTGATTAAACTGAAACTTCCACTTCACTATACGCTTGCTTCACTGTACCTGGCCATTCAACCGGCCCGGACACTAGAAGTAACTGCCAAACGGCTTTAAAAAAATCGGACAGAAATATATAAAATACAGAGCTTGAGTCACTGTGGCTGCTGCTGATTTTTAAAATTTTTTTTGCTACCGAGGCAGTTGCTGTTTCGGTTGTTGTTGCTGTGGGAGTCGCCCACACCG